TCTGCGGGTCACTATGTGATTGTCACTGGACCAACCATCGCCATCCTCAAGGGGTCCCGTCGTCCAAGTCGCGTCTTCTTGCGTCGTCGTTGGTGCACCTCAACAACCAAGGTCGCGTCTCACAACCAGCGATGGAGTCTGACTTCAAATCACCTCCAATGCATACGTTCGGTACTTCGAATCGGTCGGAACTATGTGGGTCGGTTTTTTTCTACGCTGCGTCTAATTCAAATCGTCAGTTTCTTTTTTTCCCTTTAGCTATTGCGACCATCCGTCCGTGTCGTTGGATTTTGACTCCTTCCTTTTGGATGACTCCTTATCTCTCCTCTTTGCTGGTTTTCTCTTTGCGGATCCTTTCCAGGACCCTCCTCGGATGATTTTTTTCTTTGGGCTTGAATCCCTGGATACTGTCGGCGTAGTTTTTTGGCATGGAAAGTGCATGGTCCGGGCGAATTGGCTGCTTTTCTTGCCCTAACGGCGCTTTCGGACGGAAGAAGACGTGATGGGTTCTATTTACCGAGCATCCCGTAGGGCGAAGGCACAAATCTGTCCGGATTTCGCGCCGATTTCCCTGGGCGGAGCCGATTCGTAGGATGCTTGCCGGAATTAATTTTGCAAATAAATGAATATACTGGCAAGAAGTCTACCCAAAGTGCGGAGCGCGAATTGTGACAGTGCACGACGTGCCGGCCCACTTGCCTCTCTTTTCTGCGCCGTATTCTTCTTCTGCGATGGCTCCCAGCCAACCGAGGTCATCGGCAAGTTCTCTGTACTTTGGATTTCTCATCCTCCTCACGGCCATGTTATGTAGAACACGAAGAACGCGTCGTTAGCCTCGCAGAGCGCTCAGAACGCGCAGCAGACAGCTGTGGTGCGCATATCCACTGTAAACAGTACCACCTCTCACCCAAGATCTTCCAGCCGACTGCCACCTCACGAAAAAAGGAGAACCTCGGGGTGGACCTAAGACGACCAAAGGTATGCACGCGTTCTCTCTGATCGTCGCGTTTCTTTAAAAGAAACTTCCAGTCCCAAGCCCGCAAACCGTTACGCGAAAAGGATATAGACGAAGAAGAGGATCCCGTACGTCTACCGTGCCTGGCACCATTTTCCGCCTCTAATATTGTTTCTACTCAAGTTGGAGAGTGCCACTCCGGTCGTCGAAGTCTGTCCTAGGTCCTTATTTCTTCCTTCATGCCGTCATTGATTCTCCTTCAAGGATCCACCGCGTGTCTCATCGCCGGATTGGGACTATGAACTCGTAGAAGAAGAAATCCGTTTAAGCGATATGCTCGCGGTAAGGGATTCTATAAATATTTGAGAATGTCCCTTGACTTTAATCTCTCCGATATCCAGCGTCAAACGGGTGAAGCTCGCAATGCCCACCGTCGCGAAGCACGCCGGGAAGCGGCTCGAGCCGATCCCGATGCCGCCAACATCCAACGTCAAGAGAGTGGTCGTGCGCGTGTCACTCTAGTCGCAGAGTTTTGGCTCAGCCAGCTCCGTGCCCGGGCTGTGCTTGATGAGCTCCACATTGGCGCAGGATTGGATCTATTGCAGCATATTGCTGCTGTCCACTTCGAGCTTACCCATCAGCTCCCTATCCCCCCGACGGCACCAGTGTGGAGGGACTTTTCTCCTGGTGTGGTCCAATTCCTCCTCACGGTAGCACGCGCGCCGACCTCCTACGATATTTCCCCGTTCGTCGCCAATGGCACGGTTGTCAAATGCTACCCCGACGACGCGCCCCCACACGACACGGTATATAATTACTTGCGGCGCATCCGCGTCGCGGACCCGAAAAAAGCGCTGCACGCGTACCTTGCAAAATTCCCAGCAACGGCAGCAATTACTATTCTACAGCTCGTTCTTCAGGGTGATGTTTGCGTTGAGCTCCCCGATTTCAAGTCAGCAATGGCCGAGTTGGGTCTCGAGGAAGCGGTGGATGTTTTGATCGAAGAGCTGAAAATTAACAAAGACGTGAAGATCCTCGACGGAGTTCATCGCGGCGTCACCGGCCAGTCCTCATATCCGTACACTGGCATTACCTGGACGGTGCCACCGTACCAGCGGTGCTGGGATGATGTCAAAAAGGAGGCCCCTGTTTTGCTCGTCAATTTTATCAAGGCCAACGGCGTCACGGCCAACAACAAAGATAAACAGTTCCTCGACTGGGAGACGTACCACATCCCGTCGCTCGACACACCGATCCCCAACCCGCTCGCTGCACGGACGCTTCCGGCCGTCAGCCAAAGGGAGAGAATTTTGCGCGCGGTACTCGGGGCTTCATCCCTGAATTCTGCCGAAGGCGGAATTATGCCCATATTTCGGCCCTCTGCAGCAGACGAACAGCTACGCACCACGACCCTTTCCCTTCACAATTTACCGGTCATGTACGAGTTTCCGTTAGGACGACAGCCCGATTTGGAGCTGCAAAAGAGGATACATGCTTTGTTGGACGATGAGGTCCGTTGCATGACGCTGCGCGGCGCCAGCAAGATTGCTCCAAGAGCCTTAAAGGGCGTAAAGTCGGCTGCAGGTGCTGTTCATACCGTCATGGGCAAAGTAGTCAAGCTGCACATAGCGAAAGATATTACAGCGGAAGCTTTTCACGGACGCGTTGGCAGCTACTGGGACTCCACCGCCGGCCAAGGGCCGCAGGAGCACCACCACTTACTCCGTTTATTTCATCCTCCATCGGCACCGAGGCGGGTATCGCTGCATCCGACGCCGCGCTTTACTCGGGCCCGCTGATAGATCTATGGAGAGTAGTCAAAACCCAGGACCAATACTGGCCACATCTCTTCCATACCCTCCGATACCTCGACGCGTATTCCCCTATTCTCATCGTATCACAATCAGCTCCTGTAGCAGCAATGCTGAGATCAGGCGATCTGCGTCGATGCTGGGAGATGCTGGGTCCTGACGTGGATCCTACCGATGTCCACAATCATCTGCCCCAGGACGATCCGAACGGTTACTTTCGATTGAGAGAGGGGGAATTCAATGACATCGTCGGCACTATCAACATTGTGCGTATTGGACCTCTCCCTGCTCAACTTGCTCTGCATATCGGCCACGGCCATTTCGGTCGCTACAAATATCAGCTACAAATTGTCGCACCACTGTATTTCCGCGTGGACTTCCTCGTCACCATCATCCAGGAGACCGTCGTCCAACTCATTTCTGGAAGGCTCCAGGATGGCCCCGACATCGACTGGGATGATGTAGCAGCGGTGAGGCAGTGGTTGAACGAGGTGAAGGCGGACGCTGAAGAACGGTTGAGAAACTGTGGTGTCTTGCAGGCCTTGCAGGCCGCCAAGGATGAGGCCAGGCGGGCCCATCTCGCTGTAACATTTCTAAGACGAATTGCTGGGTCCAAGCAGCGGCACGACGAATGGATCCAAGCCCGAGGCAAACCGTCATCTTATCAAAGAAACAATGGTCTTCAGTCAGCACCATCAGGCCCAGCAAGATCCGACCAGTTGGAGAAGATCCTTGCTGTAGCTCGAGAGTTGGACTCTTTCGATCTGCCCCCAGATCCCGGCCACCTCGCCCCTTGGGCCCATCCAATCCTCTCTCCCTCGTTTGCAGCCTGGTTCTTAGGTTTGCGGGACGGGATCAGCGTCGTATATTCAGCAAACGCGCTGGGACGTTCGTCGGAAGGGTACGAGCGTGCACTCGCGAATCAATCCGCGATTGGCCAATGGAGCCACAACAATCGCCGAATAGTATTCACTGATTTTGCTTCGATCGCCCGCAAAAACTTTTTTTGCTGCGCTTCGAGCAACTGCGAACCCAGGTCCAGTTGTCGTCTCCGACTCGTTGAAGCACTGGCGCAAGGCCACCTGCGATGAGTGCGGTATCACCATCATAGGACAGCATAACCAGTCCTATCACCGATGCATCTCGCCCCACGGGTTCGAAGACAAGATGCTCACCAAAGAGCAGTTTCCGCACATCGACCACATCATTTTTACGCATGACCTGCTCGGCGATGAGGACTTCGTCGCGGAGATAGGCCCTCTAGACGATGTCCTTGTCGAGGCGGCACTTGTGTCGATCCCGGTGCAGACCATCATCGACTCGGCGTGGTTCCTTCCGATGATCGCAGAGGACCTCCGGGAGCAGGATTTCGATGTGGTATCCCACATTCTGATGTCAAATCAAAACATTTTCGTCCCGCCTACGCACCAAGATGACCACAATCTCCAAGTCACGCTTGCCGTTGGCGTCCTTCTAGAGTCACACTCGAGATGCGACCCATCTTTCGAGCTTCTTCGCGCTGCGGATCGCCGAACGTGGGTCAAAACGGAATCGGACAAGCTGCAGACTTGGTACAGGGATCGTAAGTCGCCGCGATGATTACGACGAGGTCTTGGCTCATGCGCTTCTAGCGGAGAGTTCGCTTCATCTGGTTCGTTGCAGAGGACCCGACAAGAACTTTGACCCCCCTTATGTATTTCTCTCGGCCGTCGGCCGGCCCCACCATGCTCCCCCCGGCTTCAAAATACGCGATCACCGTTGCGCAGCCTGCAACAACAGCAAGGCGTGCACAAGCTCGGAATTCCTCGAGGTCAAAACCCTTTTTGACCTTCCGTTTCACTACGCTCGCCAACTCTGGTATAATGAGCGGCTGACGGTGAGCTGGGCGGCGCCCCGAGTGACGAAGACAGCGAAGGCACGGCGTTAGAGACATTGTAGCTTTCTTGTACCTGAACCGCGTGGCTGTTGTCCGACATGTAAACACCTTGACCTTGAGCCTGATGGGCTTGTAAATCTGGCTAAACTTGATTCTCGCTCTCCAAATATATTCAGTCAAGATGGAAAAGAGGTGGAGCGGTGAAGGAATGTTTTTGTATGTTTTTCATATGTTTCCCATCAATTCGTTGTTTTCGCGATATCTCGGCGTCCTGTTTTTCGATTCGCGACTTTTTTGGATCCTTTGTGCTCAGAATCGTTCCCCCTATCATACCCATGCCTTCACAGCACATTCTACCGCTTTCCTGGCTCAGTTGGTTAGAGCGTCAGTCTCATAGAAATATGAGGAATCACTGGATTCTGTAATCTGAAGGTCGTGAGTTCGACCCTCACGGAGAGCAGTCTTTTTGGCGCCCATCAAAACTTTGGCGCTACTGTTTTTCAAAACGACTGTAAAAATGTGATTAGAACACAATTGCCTATAGCCCGAGGAAAATTCCAGAGCATAGAGGCCGGGAGAAAATCAGTTCCGTCTACTTTTGGTGGGTGATCAGTGGGCGACCAAAATGAGGGCCATCAATTATTTTTGGGGTGCCGAACTGCGATGATCCACCACCACATCGCAGCGCTACAGTAGTTTGACTGGGACCTCTTCGTTTGCTTCACACGCGAGTAGCGAATTCACTTCATCTCGAGTGCGTTATGTAGAACACTGTGATGCTTCTTCCATCACACCGAGGGTCTCATCGCACATGCACATGAACCGGGACCTTGGACGAATATAAGGATGGCAGGGAGGTAGCGTTGTGGTGTATGCATCTTCTTTTTGTGCACTAAGGCTTTCTCATCTTCTTTCACAAGTTTTTGGAGGTCAGCCTAACCCAAGCATCTTGGTAGACCCCAATAATATTCACGCCCCCTGCTTCAAGTTTCCTTCTTTATTTTTTAACAATACAACAGCCCGCTTCATTCAGTCTCTCGATAATTCACGGTGCAGAAAGCATGGCAGCTTCAGGGCCTGTTAGACGGTCAGTTTCTTCAGTTTCGCCCGTTCAAAACTCACCGAATCCGACAGACAACTGCTGGATAATTCCACTTTCGAGAGGTGAGTCCGAGTTGTGCAGCGCACATCTGTACTGCACGCTGAACGACGCAAGTGCCCTTGTGCCAACAGGTGGTGCAACACTGATCGAATCGGACTCCCTTTTCACGACTGTGACCACCTCGTCCTTCGTGTCGGAAGGGCAGATCAAGACGACAGTAATTCCTATCACCCTGACCTCCGCAAGTCTGATCCCATACATTCCTTCACAAACCTCAGCTCCAACTCCCAAGTGAGTCTGATTAAATTGACTCGGGAATGTTAATGCCGATATGTATGCTGTTCAGGTCATCGCTCCCTATACTTCCAATTGCTGCAGCTGCCGGTGGCCTCGTTATCATCTTACTGATTGCCCTGGGTGTCTTTTGCCTCCAACGTAGACGGATGTTGGCGGCCCGTCGCACCAAGGTAGACCCCCAACTTGATCTAGAAATTCCACCTGCACCAAGTGCCTCCGGAATCCGCACCTTCAGTCGCCTCACTTTTACCGCCCCATATGTTGTCCCTCAGTCCGATTCCCAGTCGACGGCCGCAGCCAGCACCGTATCACCGTATCAATTGTAGGGAGATGAAGCAGGCTGTTCCCATCTTCACGTGTGGGGACTGCGACCGCTCCGAAGGTTGACGATCCGAGATGTTTCTGCGGGAAACTCATCTACGAGGACTGTATCTACAAGATTTGCGCTGATGTTATGTTTTCCGCCGGACGCATATATCAGGACTTGGACTACAAGGTTTCCCATAAAATGTACATCATCAGGGCACTCTCTGATCATTTAGATGCTTTTAGATGATGCGATGATAGTTTCACACACGCGACTGCATGTATAGAAGTCTGGCTTTCAACGAACTTCCCACTCACCGAAGTTGCAAAGATCCCCAGATTCCGGAGAGGGGTGATGCACATGGAGATCATCCAACACCAGTACATATGGGCCGGGGCCTGCCTCAGTCGGGCGGTGCACCCTGGTTTATATCCTTACATTCGAAAGCTGGACTTTTCGAGCTGCGTTCATCTCCCCGAGTTCCTACGGCGGACACCCTTCGTGCAGTCAAGTCAATATAATGGCCGTGTGAGTCGCGCGAATTTCCTCGTTTCCTGATTCTAACTCCACTAGAACGATCCCCCTTATTTTCTTGTTTTTCACGATATCGATCCAACGTTCGGTCTGCCTGCCACTTGTGGAGGATTCTAGCGCCTACGGTCTTGCCAATGCGACCAGTCAAACGTCGCAGTCGACCAGCGTTATTTTAACCACCCATTTACAACCTATCGCTGCGGATAGCGGAGCCACCGGTTTCCAAACATATCCTGTCCCTTCCGCCGACCCTTATTCCATCATCGTAACGGACACTAGTACTGCGGCGCCTGGAGCGACAGGCACGCAGACTATCAGCGTCGAGTTCACTGTAACGCGTCCTCCAGCAACCTCGGTTGTATCCAATGGAACTTCAACATCGTTGTCTGACACTCCAACGCTTGCTCCAACGACGTTCGATGCTCCCCCAAACGGAAAGTGCGGACATTCTTACCTTCACTGCATTCCCTTCCGTCTAACCGTCCTGTAGCAAATTCACTTTTACCACTACCATCTCGCGGCCGGCTAGCGCGCTACCTTCAACTGTTAGCGCACCAACATCAACTGTTTTCGGGTAAGCATCCAACCAACTCCTGCACATCGTGCTCATCTCACATCAGGAACGATGTACACGTGTCGGATTCAGCGAAGGAGACACTGTCTCCTAGTACAAGCATCTTCACGACGGTTTCATTTTTCGTGTTCACGTCAGCCGGGCATATTCGATCGACCGCAGTTCCAGTAATAAGCACCTCGGTGACCATGGTGCCCGTCCCAACAGTCTTCTCAAGCGGCTACCAAATCCAAGTAAGCGAACGCGTGGAATTGGGTGGAAACTTATACGCTTATTTATTCACTACTAGATCTTCCAGTTTGAGCACGAATGTGAAGGTTGGGGTTGCAGTTGGCGGTATCGCCATTCTCCTTCTGCTCGCTCTCGTCTGCATCATCAGCCGCCGTCGGTATCTCCGGAGTCGAGCCTTCATACGATTAGGAGAGGAACTCTAGCCGCAGTCATCCAAAATACATTGTATTTATTTTGTATCATTATTTCACAAGACACTGCCCACGGATAAGCTCAGCTTCAGTTCCACAGTAAATTCTTCCATTATTCAGTAACGAGCGGTCTATAGGTTTGGCGACTAATATTGAAAACAATGGTGCGGTAACGACGGGCAGATGATAAAGGACGATAGAGTCACGGAGGGCGCAATAAGAATACGTAGTATGCTCGAGCAAGTCCACCGGCCATCACAAACGTTGGAATATGTATAGCAGAACCCAAAAAAGAGCGTGTGTGTCTGCGATGGAACGTAAAACGACGATAAGATAGTAGTTGGTTTGGATATCGAGTTCGGGTGAGGTGCATAGGATTAAGAAAAATGCAATGCATACAGAAATCTTTTAGAGCAAAGGCCAGAAGGAAGGAAGGAAGGAACAGCAAACACAGATCCACCCATGGCTTGGTCATATTGGTTGACGCGGCGAGAGGAAGTGGAATACCTTCTCTGCGTTCTCCTTGTACTTCTTCAGTTTTTTGCTCTTCATCCGATCCGTACCCTCTCGCGGCGACCCAGGCGCCTTGCCGTCCGACAGGACGCCCCCGTTCTCGCCCGACGACGAGCTCTGCGCGCCCATCGACATCGCCGACTCCTTCGACTTGAGCGACGGGGAGACGGGCGCGGTCGACGTCGCAGGCGTCAGGAGGCCACCGCTCGAGGACGACGCGGAGATGGTGGCCGAATTCGTCCGGCTCATGCTCTTCCCCCCGATGCTCGACTTTGACGAATACGACGACGGCGGTGGTGACTTGGGCCGGAGGAACTGCCGCGGGTGTTTCCGGAACGTCAGCCCCGCGCCCGTGCGCCCGCGGCGCTGCGACGGGCTCGGCGAGTCGCCCTCCGCCCCCGACGCACCTTCCGTATCCGTGCGCGAGATCGCCGACACGCTCCGCGGCTGCGATGGCGTCGACGCCTTGCGGAACACGGCGAGGCGGTACCGGTCGACGACACCGCGCGCGAAGAGGCTCGTCCCCTTGGCGCCGTTGCGGTCCTCGCCGTCCGCCGCCTCGACAAAGTCCCAGTCGTCGTCGTCGTCCTCCTCCTCCTTCTCCGTCGCCTCCGCGTCGTCGATGTGCCGGTCCAGCGCGGGCACGCCCGACTTCTCGCGCCGCGGCCGTACGAGGCGCGCGCCCTTTGCCGCTTTGGGCGGCACCTCCGGCGCGGGCACGTCCTTCTCGGGCACGGGTGGCCTCGGCTGCTCCTTGCTCCGCCGTGGCTTGGGCTCTGCGGGTGTTGGCGCCGACACAGGCGCAGGCGCAGACTCCGGCGTGCGCGCCTCCTCCGTGATGCCGTCCGCGACCGCGACCGCGCCCGCTGCCGGCAGCTCGGGCACGGGCTCCACAGGAACCACAGGGCGCGCCTCGGGGGTCTTCGGCTCCTGCACGTCCGCATCCCCCTCCGCCTCCGCCGTGTCCGCGTCCGCGTCCTCCACCACGGCGCCCTTGGGCGTCTCCGGCTCCAACTCCACATCCAGGTCCTTCAATATATCCCCCTCCTCCTCCTCTTCACTCTCCTCCTCCCCGCTCCCGTCGCTCTCCTCGTCCTCGTCGTCCATGAGCACCGAGTGCCGCCCCTTGAACGAGTACCCGTCAAACACGTCGACCGAGTCGTCCTCAGCCCCGGGCGTGGTGGCGGCGCCCTGCGCCGGGTGGATCGACGAGCTGCGCGACTGCGACGGCGTCGTGTTGCTCTCCTCACCGTCCGTGCGCTCCGCGTCCGTCTGCGGCTCCTGGTCTGTGTCTATAGCCTCGTCGTTCACGTCGTCGAGCACCGGCTCCATGTCCAAGAACGTGTCGTCGAAGTTCTGCGTGTCGCTCGCGTTCGAGGGGTCGATCGGGGGGATGTATGGGGCTGCAGGCAGGTAAACAGGTGAGGTCAGAAAGAGCGAACAAGCGTGAAGGGAAGCGAGGGGACGCACGTATGTAGCGTTTATAATACACATGAGACCAGTCTCTGTTCGCGCGAAGCGCGTCAGTGTCATTACACTAAAGGGACGAAGAAAGCGCACATCATGGAAAAGTAGGGATGCCGTTTTATCCGCGGCTCGCAAATCCTGAGCGCGGGATTCCGTTGAAGAAGCTACAGCACGTCAGCCGGGCATCGCAGCACAAGTGTCGGTGGACGCACCCCGCGAATCAAACTCTTCGTATCTTGATCGATCGCCCTATCATCTGGGAACTGCAGCTCGTCCTGCAGCACCCGGACGTACATGTCCGAGTGGTTGTTCGCCCAGAACGGCGTCTACCACATATGAGTCATAATGCATAACCGGGAGACAGAGAAGCGAACTCACGATCCCGGTCAACATCTCGTACAGCATTGTGCCAAAGCTCCACCAGTCGACCTCGTAGCTGTAGGCGAGGCCCTGGATGACCTCGGGCGCGAGGTACTCGGCGGTCCCGCAGAACGTCGTCGTTGTGTCCGCGGTCTGGCCGACGGGTTGCCCGGGCCACCCCGCGGCAAGCTCACCACCCCTCTCCGCCTTCATCCACGGCGGCGTCGCGGGCACGGTGCTCCCGTTTGCGCTGACGACCGACCCCGTACTCGCGGCCGAATAGAACTCGCCGCGCGAGCCCGACGGCGTCGAGGGCGCGGTGATCGCCGCCGTGCGCCGCGGGAACTCCTTCGAGAGCCCAAAGTCCGTGAGCACGATGTGTCCGTCGCCGCCGATGAGGATGTTCTCGGGCTTGAGGTCGCGGTAGATGACGCCCGCGGCGTGCAGCCCCTCGACGCCCTCGACGATCTCCGCCGCGTAGAAGCGCGCGCGGTCGCGCCCGAGGCGCCCCCAGCGCGCGAGCTGCGTCGCGAGGTCGCCGCCCGGGTGGAAGTCCATGACGAGGAAGAGGTTCTCCTTGTCGTGGAAGCTCCACCACAGTTTGACGACGAACGGGTCCTTGTTCTCCGCGGCCATGCGCTTGAGGACCGCCTGCTCCGTGAGGGTGTGCTGCAGCTCCTGGTGCGCGAGCACATGCCGCTTCGTGATCGCCTTGAGCGCGTACAGGTCCGCGGTCGTCTTGTGCTTGACGAGCAGCACCTTGCCCGCGCAGCCCTTGCCGAGCACGCGCATCATCTCAAAGTCGTCGATCACGACCTTGCGCGTGCTCTTGCGCGGGCCGACCGAGATGGCGCGCAGCTTCTTCTTGGACGCGCGCTTCTTGGGCGCCGTGCCGTGCCCGGTCGTCGACAAGGACGAGTCGTCCGTCTCGCCTGCCTGCGACGACGTCTGCTCCTCCGGGTCGGTCTGCTCGTCCGGGGTGTTCGAGAAGGCGCGCGAGAGCCGCGACGACTTGTCCGGGTCCGCGGACTGCGAGCGCGGTATGCGCGCGCTCTCGGGGACGGGCAGCGTCGCAGCGGCCGAGGACGACGCGGGCGCCGGCGCGGACCCCGACATTTCGGCGACCTCGGCGTCTGTGGGAGGGGCTGGGCTGGGCGCGGGCTCTGCGGGTGCGGGGGTCGGCGGGGGCGGGTCGTCCTCGACGATGCCCTTCTCGACGGCAATGTTCTCCTTTCCGCGCATGCCGCCGCCGGTGTGGGACGCGAGGTCGCTGCGGACGCGCTTGATCGCGCGCTCGACGCGCACGCTCTCGAGATCGTCGGTCCGCACGTGGACAAAGCGCTTCCAAACGCGCGCCTGGCGCATGGCGGGGGTGTTGCTGATGGTGGTGAGGTACGCGGCGACGCTGGTGCTCTTGCCGGACGCGGGGGGCGCGGCGCTTGCAGGTGCAATCCCGTCGCTGGGGCCGAACGAGAGGAACGGGTCGTTGGCCTCAGCCTGCGGAGAAGTGACGGGGGTCGTGGCAGCAGCCATGCCGTTGGGGCGGCGGCCGCCACGATTCGCGTTAGGGGACGCGAGGCGCGAGAGGGTGTTGAGGAAGGTGGACTTGGTCTTGCGCTTGGGCGCGGAGGCGTCGATGGGGAGATCGGGGAGAGCGGCGGTCGGGTAGGCCTCACGGAGCTTGCGGTCGAGATCGACGAGCTCCATGATGGTGCGGGTGAGGGTGAGGTTGTGGGTGGGAGCTAGAGGGCGTTACATGAGTGCTCGATGGGCTAGAAGATGACTGACTCTTTATGTAAAGGCTATAGGAGCGGGGGTCGTCCGGGGTCTCTGCAACGCTGACGCTCCAGGGCCCGTCCTGGGCATTCATCCGGACGGGGGGCCTGCGGTTGGGATTGGCCGGGTCCATGGTGTTGGGGTCGGTGGGGATGTTGTTGTCGACAAAGACAAAGTCCTGGACGGGGGGCCGGTGTGTCCTGAGCTTGCGACGGGGGTCCGTCACGGTGCTGAACTTGGTGCCGCTAGAGATTGGAGGGCTAGCTTGCATGCGGCAACCGAGCACTCGAGGGCATGCACGAAAAGAGTTTGGCCACGAGGTCGTCTGCAGTCCCGCTGCCTCGAGGCAGATCCAGAAAACTCACAAGAAACGGGGCTGGGCCGGGCACACCACGTCGAGGCGCAGAGAAGAGCAGAGTAAAGAGCAGAAGCAGGCGATGTAGCAAAAGGTGGTTGAGGTAAAAGGCAGCAGTATTTGGATAGCACGCGAGCCTATGATTATTTTCCTATTGTGTTTCCTTGTATCTCGCTTGACACGATCCTTCATCTGCCTGCATATCCATTTCAAACGGAGGGTAATCCCCCTCTGGTCGTTGCCAGCGTCCCCGCAATCCATTCCAACCACTAATTCCAATTGCGACGGGAATGAAATGCAGCCGTGACTCGAGCTGAGCGCTGAGCACTCGATGAGCACGGACGCGGAAAGCTACCCCAAAACCCCCAAAAGATCGCCCCTCACTGCCAACAGGCACATGCACGTCCGATACGCTTGCCTCTGCTCGGATTAGGCACGGCGTTCTCGCTGCTCCAAATAACCCCGGGAATGTCCCGCGAATAGCCATCGCGTCACGGTCCCATCCGCGTTGATATCGTCAGTGTGAATTGTACTGTAATCTCCGGAGCGAGGGTTGAGCGAGGGAGTTGGCCGTTGAGCGATGAACAACCAGAGCTTCTGCATGGACCCACTTCAATGTCCGACAAGCGCCCAGACAAGCGCCCACATTCTCAGAGGCCGAGTTTTGGCAGTGACACCGCCTCTCGAAGCTCCGTCCCGACACCCAGGTCTTGAAACGAATCCAGGATCTTCTTACTCGCTTTGGACAACCAACCATCCGGCACACTCGAATTGAATCGGAACCTATACAGCTGCCGGATTCATTTCCGGCTTGTAAGCTCTCACACTCTCTACTATACCTTCAAGCCTGTTAAACGTTCCCCTTGCAGGCCATCCCTCTTCCCCTCGTCTTCAAAACTTGTAAAGAACGGCCATCGACGGCCTTCTTATTAAAAAGACGGAGTTCACTTATTAAATAAAACGTTTTTTCGCTTTCGCACAGCTTTCAGAACCATCCTGCCGTCAGCTCGCGGGAACCTCTGCCGTATACCCCGCAGTCCAGTGTATCCCGAGGCTCTATCGCCGCTGTCCTTCATTCCGTGAATCCGTTCCATACTTGCTGCCTCTAAAAATTCCACCCGCGGTGTCTAAACATTTGGTATGCTCCGCAGTCGATCTGCCCCACAGGACGGGCGGCACATAATCATAACCCCAACCCCGCGCTCGCCTTTCTCCCTGTGCCGGTGACCGTATTCGGTCTCAATTCACAGCAAGCGCGGCTCCGCTTGCCGTACATTGCCGTACCACTCCAAGTTCCTGCCGTACCCTCGCGCAGATTTCAATAGACTCTAAAGTCTCATGGCCATTGGCATCAGCTATTGCATCATTTAATGGATCTCTCGACGCAATGTAATGAATGGACGCCGGCTCCGACGACTCGATGGAAGAAGAAAACAATCCCAGGGGAGGGGGTTTACGGCGCGGCGCGGCGCGTCCGCGTCTACGTCTACCTCGCGCAGCCCCGCGCGCGTGCGTTTCTCCTCGACGACAGGGACGCGGCGTACGGATGACGTGCTCTCCGCCAGCTCGAGCGCGTCGCACCGCCTCTGTCCCGTGCTCTCCCCTTCGCGGCCCCTCGAGGCCCTGAGGTGGACGCGGCGCAGAAGTACGGCAGCGATGCCAGCGCACGAGCACTGCCCAGGCCCACGAACAGAACGCGTCCATCTCAGATCAGGAGGTCGACAAGCACTGATTTCGCCGTTTACGTTTATCCCGCTGATTTGGTCTAGAACGATGTATCTTCTTGTCCATCGCCGTCTGAGGCGAGTCGAGGTGGACAGCTGGCACAGCCGCTAGATCATCATGAATGCCAGTGGGAGAGCAGATTCCGCAGTATGGGTGTGGTGCACCCTGGTGCACCACGGAAGTACATGTGATAAACAACACTACGCGGTGGCGGTGGACGAAGAGCGTCGAGGCGAGAACGGGATGCAGTTCGCGATGATGGTCCGGGGTGCGAAGCGCGTAGCGTATGGACGGACGTGACGGCGTCATATGGCTGGCGGGCCTTTCGTTGTCTGGTCGCTCAACCCGTCTTATTATATCTGAACAATAGATGATTGATAGTCCAAAATTCATGGTGGTCACTCGGAAGACATCCCTGTGAATGCAATATCGACCTTCGTTGGACCTTCGAAGTACTAAAAAAATATTGTAGGACTGAACCGGAGGCCAAGCAGGAATGAAATAAAATGCCAAAAAATGGCTCACTGGGCAATCGCCGACCGCTGAAGCGAATACAATCAATTTTCTCCACCACAGTGAAACCAAAATTAAATCAACCAAAAAGCCTAATGGGGCGGGGATCATGCTGACTGTTAAAGCCCCCTTGCTCCAATAACCCGAAGGTTGGTATTCCCCGTCGGCGCGTGTTGCCATCTGCATGGTCCAGCTCGCAACAGCCAATGTGCCTCCTGAGGGGATCGAACCCTCCACCACTTGGTAACCACCTTGTGCATGCGGGACGTCTCCCACGAAAGTTGGCGAATTAACCGTTGTGCTATGGAGGCACTGAAAAACATGGTTTTGTGTATAATATGTGCTGAGACTACTGGATAACGACCAGGGTGAGTACTGGGAGAGTGGCTGTGTAAATTTCCTTCCAGCGCGGGCGGTCTTCGCGGCACTTTCAAGTTCAATTAAATGTTGAACGACAGCGAAGGACTTGAGCCCACGAATGAACCCGCTTTGTGGGGGTTTCGTTGCTTCCCTGGATGGTTATATAGATCATTTGGCAGTCATTGACCAAAAGTGGCCCGAGATACAATTCTTGCCCTGTGGTCGGCGAGGGCAGTAAATGGTTGTCCTGAATTTACTCCTTTGGGGTCGATATCTCTGATGCCCCGGATGCAGTGATGGATCGACGCGCCGACGCGCCGGCCACGGGCCCGCGGCGCGCTTGGTTGATGCGTGATGTCACGCGATTTTGTCACGCCAGCGCTCACCTCCTCCTTCGTTCCCGCCCGCGCCACCTCCCGCGACATTCGCCAAGCATGCTGACTCGTGGAGTAGAAATTACCATCACCGTCGTCTCTGCTATCCACCAACCTACAACGTCATTCTCTCTTGGGTGCTGCCTAGGACGTGGGACTCCTTGCTTTCCCCGGTGAACGAGATCCGAGAAGGCTTCTGGGTCAAGGGCTGGGGATCTGCAAAATACGCATTTCTCCTCGTCTTTCTGGAGGTCTGCGGCGGATTCGAGAACGGCTGTCCCCTGGGCTTGTACGGGGTGAGCACATCTTATGCCTTCCGTCTGCCTACCTACTCACTCTCGCTTATTTTAAGACCCTGGAGAATTGCTTATTCTCGGAACAAGTCTTTTTCGAGATCCTCAAAAAGCCCTAGCATGGTAGGCAAAAAGCGTCTTCATCTTCCTCGGTTACTGACTCGACAAGATCGTCCCTATGGCCAAACGTGTCTTAATTCCTCTGATACGAGTCGCAATGACAGCTTTTCACGAGTTGTGAGCCGTACGCTTCTACCTTGGTTATCATTTACTGAGCGTGCGACCTATTCGTCCCTCAAAAAAAAGCGAAAGTGTCGAAGGCAAGTGGCCCGAATCATGCAGACGGTTTGTTTATCCACTCGCTTTCGGGCCTTGCTGCAGTCTGACCCGCCCTCCCAGACCTCCTTATTCTGCAGCGCATGCGGGACTTGCAGTTCGTGAATAAACCGCCGAGACGTACGCAATTGGAAAATCTGCGGAAGCACAATGCTAGGATTCTCAGAAGCCTCCTCAACACCATCATCTTCGCCGACGGCGCCAATCGAGGATGTACACGATGAGGAGGAAGCCAGGAGCAAGGAGTCTTTGGGTCCTGTCGTCGACAAGGTCTACCTGACTTCATGTTTCCTTACTGTTCACAATGTAATATTGTTTCGTAGTCCACGAACGCGGCGTTCATGAGTACAGCGGGGGCCGCGTTTGCCTCGATGGATCCCTTCTGGGATGCCTCGTCGCCGCCGGCTGTGGGTGCGGGTGCGGCGGGTTTGGGTGCTGATGTGGGTGTGGGTCTTGCTCTCGCTGTGGGGTCTGTTGGTATGGTTGCTGGTGTTACTGTTAGTGTTGGTGTAGGGGTGAGTGATGGTGTGGGTTCAGGTGCGGGTGCGGACGCGCCCGTCCTCTTCGAAGCGTTCACTCTGAAGGTAGGGAAGAATCCCTTTCACGCTCCATTTTTAACGCTCTCTTGACCCAGCGAAAGCGCCCCCACTCCGACGAGAACCTCCCCGCGGACGATCATCTTTTCCCCAGCGCGACCAACGAACCCGAAGTGACTATGCAGCCAAGGAGCCCCCTCCGCGCAATATAGGCACTCTGATTTCACTGTTCGGGCCGAACTCGCCAGCCGGGTGGAACCTTCCCCCAAGTACGACACTCAACGGCGCTTCTTTCCCTGAACAGTAAGATGAAGGCCCTCCAAGCCCAGACCCGTCTCTAGCTCTCCCTTAATCAGATCCTCAATATTTCACGATCAAGTTGACTCCTGCTTGTTTCCCTCTTTTGGACCGGCTCGGCTACTTTCGGATTTCCGTGCAAGGCGTGGTCTTCGTCAATCTCTCCCCCTCCCCCTCCCGCTCGTTCTCTTTCCTACATTATTTCATATTAGGATCTACACCCTGACGCGTTACCTTATTATTTCCTGACCCATTTACTATCCACAATACGTACGAAATATAGCTATTTGTTGTCTTCGTCTATGAGAGATTAGATTGAACCAGATTGATGTGTTTACCCGTTTGTGTGGTGATGCTTGGGCCTTGCCCTCAGCGCGTCGACGTCACGTGTTTATTCTTTCAATTTGCGCAGTAACTATGACCTGCTCATTCTTGTCCAACGCCTTGTTTTCCAATCCTCTCGTTCCTACCTGCCAGTGCTTCGCACACCCAGGCCCTTGACCCAAGCCCCGGATTAATCTGCATCACGCATCACCATGAACATCAACATCTGTCTGAAGCTCTCTTGACCTCGTACACCATGACGGGAAAGATAGACTGTTACCTGGACTGCGGTGAGTCTCTCGTCGGTGGGGGCCACGCCCGACACTCCTGAACAGCCATATAGCATCCTTCTATAGCTTTCTCGGTTTCGTCTACCTCCTCAAACAGCGAGAAGTCCTTGCTACCCATGACGTTTCCATCGAGTAAATCCCTTGAATATTTCATGACCTCAAGGCGGATCTGACCTTGGTATAGGTTCCATCCCATCTTCCTCGGCGGTGTCAATGTCAGCAGCGGTAACTACCACCCTTCTCTCTCCAATGACTACGAAACCAAGAATCGCATCGCACAGGTAACAAACCGCCGTGGACCGTTCCAGCCAAAGCTGCGTTCGGAAATGCCTTCGAGTCCGTCCGCGCTAAGAACTATCTTGGCGTTCCCGACATCGAGATTCCCCCGCACATTCCGCTCATGACACTCAATGTACGTGGCTCGCTCAGCTCCGACAACTGACCTACATACTAAACCCGCGAAAGACCCAGCGTTCTTTGTGCTACATCAAAGCCACGTTCCCGCAGAGCACCTTCGAGCAAGCCTGGCTCGCGCTCTTCAAGGCCATGTGGATCCCGCCACATGCAAACCCTGCCCTCCCAGACGCTGTCCCGGGCGTTCTTCGCGACACTAAGCTCTTCTCCGACAAGGAGGTGGATGAAATCGTCGCCGCCGCATCGCAGAAGCAGTGGAAGGATTGTCTCCTCGAAAACACCAAGAAGGTAGTCGACCAGGGCGCTTTTGGGGCGCCGTGGATGTGGGTGCGGAATGGACAGGGCAAGGAGGAGCCCTTCTTCGGGAGCGACCGGTGCGTTACGCGCACATCTCCTCCATCCACGAAACTGACTGCATGAAGGTTCCACCACATCTGGGTGTACCTGGGCCTGCCTTGGAAAGATATCGAATTGTTACCGAAGGCCACGGCGAACCTGTAGGGAAGGCCTATCCTTGCATTTTTTCCCCTTTTGCCTGAGTCGTCTACTGGAATTTTTTATGTATTGCAGCTAATTTAAACCCTGCGACACCGATCACTGAATCATGAAGCACACTGGCAAACCTTAGGTCAAGCCGCATGCTGAACACAGGCAAAGCAGCAGCGTCGGTCGCGGGCTTCGGACGTGACATATGTCCCTGGCTGGATTTCTACCACCCTGCAAGCTTAAACGCAGTAAATCCGGTAGTCTCGGCTCGGCGCTATTCCACTATTACTACCAGGACTTCCAAATGCCAGTTTGAGTTTCAGGAGGTGAGCCTTTCGCTCTCAGCGTGCCGCAAATCAAGGGGCCTGTGAAGTTATCAGCGCTTAGACTGTAGATTGATCCACGAGTCGCACACTTGGTGGTTACACAACGGTTCAAGGAGTATCCGAGTGTGAGCCACAGTACGTTGGTTTCCTAGATCCGAACTCTTGATCCCAACCGCTCACTTGGTGAAACCTCTGCATGTAGCGCGGCAAGATCATCAATCGCCCAATGAAGATGGGTGAGAAGAACCGTTTCAACCGTTTCGTGTGAGTGAACAGCATTGTTTAGGCCGTTGCGTATGACATTGGGATAAACCTGTATCATGTTACAGTGTAGGCGTCCCGGACGAGGCTGTTGCCTTGGATATTTTTTGTGGCGTTTATTCCGAGCGATTAGAGATTAATGCTATCTGGGCAGTCTTGCAGCATATATTGACACTGGACTGGGTGTTCCCTAGCGGGATTGCGCTGACTACCTGATAAAAATACCTACCGGGGCAACGGCCATGCTGTCCTCAGTTTGATTCAACTCCCGCGATGCCGTAATGTCATTGAATGGACTCTATAGGATGTACTGGATGTACAGTCGCGGACAAGCAAACGTGACAAGCCATTTTCCAGCTGAACCGTTGATTCTAGAGTTAATCTGAGCTCGGAATCAGACTCAGCGTGAAAAAAGGTGATTTTTTGAGCCCTCTTTGAAATTTTTCCCACGAGGGATAAGGAACGGCCAATATTTGGATGACTTCAACGCAAATTGTGACTGGTAAAGTCGGAGGTCGGGAGGCACCGGGCTGTTAGGGGTGGTAAAAATTGATCCTTAGCACCATCTAACACTGTTGAGATGCTAATCTGTTCCAAGTTGTTGATCCAACGTTGGTTGAACTTTTTTTTTGAGCTTTCCAATCACATGCCCTGATCACATGCACATTAGTCATCGTGATGTGGACAATTTATTTCACCACAATGGCTCGGTGGATTCTTGCACATTAATTGGTATCATGAAGTACTCATTAAAAGCAGTCGATTGCATATTTTTGCGTGATTTTTGCGTGAATTTGGGGGTACGGCCAAAATTTTGGACCCCCCAACTCACTAAATGGCCATTTGCAGGCGGTTGGCTCGTGTAAAAAATCGAAATTGGGTACCGTTCGACACCTCTTGATGAGATCTCTCTATTCCGATGGTTTCCGGGGGTCATAAATGAGGTTGATCTTTTTTGTCATCTTTGCTTGTCCACGACTGTACTTATATTTAACGATGCGATCTACCAGAGAA